TGAACCACAACACGTACAGGAGAGGAGGGCAGGCTTCTTTTACACCTTTTCTTCTTTCCAGGACCTGTTTCTTTCATTTCTGGAGTCAATTTCTTCACCGGCGTGCATTATCTTTTTTTTTTTTTTTTGAGCAGGGGACGCTCTTTGCCAGTTGTACCGCGCATTAGCGCACCTCCCTCCAGCTGTGTATGTCGTGCCACTGGCCGGAACCTCCGTCAGACGTTGGGAACATTCTGCAGAGTAGGATGCTGCTACCGGAGGCTCTCTGTCAACGTTGGAAGCCCCCCTGCGCCGAAATTAAGCAATCTCTCAACCAGGATTCCCCTCCAGGCGATTGCAGTATTTCTTCCAGACAGGACATCAGGTCTTCAGAGGACATGTCCTGCAAACAGCTGACAGGGATTGCGCTCACGCTGCCACCTTTTGTACTTACCTGGCTTCCCGCGCTTTGCTGGCTCTCAGCTAGCAACCAATCCTCAGCCAGCTCTTCTCCCCAGCAACAGCTGTGTCACCAAATCTGCACAGCTACTTGTCCTACTCTGCCCAACAACCTAACAAGGGGTTACACTAAACTTTCCCTAACTGTACCAACAGGACAGCTTCTATTGCCTCCATACATATATGCCACAGTGCCTAATGCCTAAGGCATCTTTTACTAGCATATGGATAGAAATTTCATGAGGTGTGGTCTATATGTGTATGATGAGAGTTAATTGATATATTGTAATATATATATATATATATTGTTCATTAGTAAGTGTATGTGCAAAAAACGTGCAAAAAACGCCGCCCCCAAATGCCCAGGCAAATACTTTGGAGGCAGACGGCTAGCTGAGTTCCAAGGCGGATGGCGAGGGAACGCTGGTTTGTGAGCTCTCTCTCTGCTCTGCTCATATTCCGGCTCCCAGCATCACTCAGTGGTCCGCCTTGGAATTCAGCTAGCCGCCCAACGGCCTGCAAGCCTGCCTCCCTCCCTGCCCAAGCAGCCCGGCCAGCAGCCCCACTGGACCCCAGGTAAAAAATCCATCCAGCTCTCCCAAAGAGTCGGTGATGTGTGTGTGTGTGTGTGTGTGTGTCAGTGTATCTGAGAGTGTGTGTCTGTCAGTCAAAGTGTGTGTGTTAGTCTTTAACAGGAAGAGGTGTGGCATTGACAGGAAGGGGTGGGGTAAATGTAAATTAAGGGGTGCCCGAGTTCCGTCATGCCTAGGGCAGCACAGATCCAAAATACACCACTGTATGTGATGTGTCCCTGAAAACTTAGTGGATCTGGCAAGCTTAATGAAGTTAGTGTGTGGAAGCCTGAATGTGTATGAAATGATAGTAATTCTAATGACCAAAGTATAATAATGGAATATGTGATGTCATACTGAGAGAGTGTTGATACAATGCAGACCATCAGACAGGCAGCAGTGGTGAGAAATACAGGGAGTGCAGAATTATTAGGCAAATTAGTATTTTGACCACATCATCCTCTTTATGCATGTTGTCTTACTCCAAGCTGTATAGGCTCGAAAGCCTACTACCAATTAAGCATATTAGGTGATGTGCATCTCTGTAATGAGAAGGGGTGTGGTCTAATGACATCAACACCCTATATCAGGTGTGCATAATTATTAGGCAACTTCCTTTCCTTTGGCAAAATGGGTCAAAAGAAGGACTTGACAGGCTCAGAAAAGTCAAAAATAGTGAGATATCTTGCAGAGGGATGCAGCACTCTTAAAATTGCAAAGCTTCTGAAGCGTGATCATCGAACAATCAAGCGTTTCATTCAAAATAGTCAACAGGGTCGCAAGAAGCGTGTGGAAAAACCAAGGCGCAAAATAACTGCCCATGAACTGAGAAAAGTCAAGCGTGCAGCTGCCACGATGCCACTTGCCACCAGTTTGGCCATATTTCAGAGCTGCAACATCACTGGAGTGCCCAAAAGCACAAGGTGTGCAATACTCAGAGACATGGCCAAGGTAAGAAAGGCTGAAAGACGACCACCACTGAACAAGACACACAAGCTGAAACGTCAAGACTGGGCCAAGAAATATCTCAAGACTGATTTTTCTAAGGTTTTATGGACTGATGAAATGAGAGTGAGTCTTGATGGGCCAGATGGATGGGCCCGTGGCTGGATTGGTAAAGGGCAGAGAGCTCCAGTCCGACTCAGACGCCAGCAAGGTGGAGGTGGAGTACTGGTTTGGGCTGGTATCATCAAAGATGAGCTTGTGGGGCCTTTTCGGGTTGAGGATGGAGTCAAGCTCAACTCCCAGTCCTACTGCCAGTTCCTGGAAGACACCTTCTTCAAGCAGTGGTACAGGAAGAAGTCTGCATCCTTCAAGAAAAACATGATTTTCATGCAGGACAATGCTCCATCACACGCGTCCAAGTACTCCACAGCGTGGCTGGCAAGAAAGGGTATAAAAGAAGAAAATCTAATGACATGGCCTCCTTGTTCACCTGATCTGAACCCCATTGAGAACCTGTGGTCCATCATCAAATGTGAGATTTACAAGGAGGGAAAACAGTACACCTCTCTGAACAGTGTCTGGGAGGCTGTGGTTGCTGCTGCACGCAATGTTGATGGTGAACAGATCAAAACACTGACAGAATCCATGGATGGCAGGCTTTTGAGTGTCCTTGCAAAGAAAGGTGGCTATATTGGTCACTGATTTGTTTTTGTTTTGTTTTTGAATGTCAGAAATGTATATTTGTGAATGTTGAGATGTTATATTGGTTTCACTGGTAATAATAAATAATTGAAATGGGTATATATTTGTTTTTTGTTAAGTTGCCTAATAATTATGCACAGTAATAGTCACCTGCACACACAGATATCCCCCTAACATAGCTATAACTAAAAACAAACTAAAAACTACTTCCAAAAATATTCAGCTTTGATATTAATGAGTTTTTTGGGTTCATTGAGAACATGGTTGTTGTTCAATAATAAAATTAATCCTCAAAAATACAACTTGCCTAATAATTCTGCACTCCCTGTACAGCCTATCACTCTGCATGTTAATTCAGCGTTTATATACAGCCCAACAGTCCCTATACTAATAATAATAATGGCAGTGAATTGAGCAGTGAAATTTCAGAGGCATGATCTATACACAAAAACTCACTTAATTAAGCTAACGTTGTTTTGGTGACTATAATAATAATAATAGAAATATCCCTGTTAACTGTCACAGATATACTTCAAGGCATTCTCTAAGCATCAAAATGTTAACTTAAAGGAACAATGTATTGTTAGGAATAGATACATTTAATCCTGATGGAATTGTGTAGTTTATGGACCCTGAGATTTTTTTTGAAAAAAAATACTCACTTTCCACAATCTCCCCCTCAAGCGACATCATCTTGGAGGCGTATCTTAGGGTAACAGTCCAATCTATCGTCATAGATGAGCATTGGGGGCCTTTGGCGCCGCAGTGTGTCTAAAGATTCTCTTAAGAGAATCACAACACAGTATGTTATGGTATGAGAGCTGGGAAGTAAGATTTCCGGCTCTCATTCTCAGAGGTCTTGAATACGTGGCTTAGAGCCGCACTTCCAAGCCTTCTAATTAGTGAAATAAAGAGTTTTAGTGATAGGACATGGAGAGCCAAAACTGCAGGCACTATAACGACTTAAATAAGATGAAGTTGTTGAAGTGCCTACAGTGTTCTTTTAATGAAATATTAAATGAAATATTTTATTGATTTTTTTTATATTTACAAAAAAATCACTTTTTAAAGTTGATCATCAACAAGTATTAAATAAAATTTTTTTAAAAATTCTGAAAACTGGGAACGAACAAAAGCTTAGAGAAACTCAGTAGCTTGCCCTTCGATAAATCCCTGTTCATGTCTCAAAAAAGTTTCTTCTCACTTGTGCCATTACAGAGAGGACATATTCTGAAGCATATCAGACCGATCCCACCTGTAATCGTAACGCCAGCAAGTTCTCTCTTCATGAGACATACAACAACCGCAGACGATCGTTTCGGCCTTCTTTGGGCCTCGTCAGTGAGGTGTAGCTGACACCCCTCTAAGTATATCCAACAATATTAAATCAAGGCCAAAGTAAGATTATCCAATGTCAAAGTACACTCCTATCATAAATTGGAAAACTATTGCTTAGCAATACACTATGCTTAATTCTGACATTTAATACAATAAAAGTAACCTCAAGATTCAAGACTTAAGCTTAACAAATAATGATACAAAATAAGTTATTTTTAGATTACACATGATCTAGTTTGAACTTTTCAACATGTGGTTTTTGAGTCTACAGCACACACAGTTAATCAGCTGGAAACCTGGGCTGACGGCAACAACAGGTGCAAACAACCAGTCTAGACACAAAAATGTTAGCAGGCAATTAGCTCTCACAACTTCTTAATTTAAAGGAAAACTCCAAGGACAATAAACACGACAACAATCTATAGTGGTCACGGCAGGTTTGGTAAGGTGAAAATGTACCCCCTCAAACATCCAATGGGAGATGTGCTTCTTGTCTGGACTTACTGTGGATGCAGAAAAGCAGCACATCTCCCACTGGACCACCAGGGATCAGGATCCCACTTCCTTTTTTTTTGTTTTCTTTTCAGCACCTATCCCCACAATTGCAGCCTATACCCACCCACTACAGCCCCTAATACACCTATTTCAGGCCCAATCCACCCTACATCCCACAACCCCCACTACAACCCATATCCACCCTCTTCAGTCCCTATTCCCCCACTACAGCCCTGATCCTCCCAACAGTCCCTAATCCACCTACTACAGCCTCTAACCCCCCTACTACTGCTCCTATGCCCCACCATTGCGGCCCATTTCCTGTACTATAGCTCCTAAACCCCCAGTTGCATCCCCGATCCACACTAGTCCCTATCCTTCCATTTGACGCCACATCCCCTCCCCCCCCCAAAAAAAACCTAATAATCTTCACCTACGTGTCTCTTAATCCCCATTTGAATTTCTTACCTCTTTACCTCTTTTGCATTTCTTATCCCCTCTTTTGAATGTCTTACCCCCCTTTCATGTACACCCCCCTATAGTGTATCTTATCTCCATTTTTTTCCTTTGTGTGTCTCTTATTTTTCCCCTACCCCTTTGTGTGTCTCTTACTTCCCTCCAGCCTGTGTGTGTCTCATACTTCCTCCAGCCCCTTTGTGTGTCTCTTACTTCCCTGCATCCACTTTATGCCATCCTTACTTCCATCCGCACCTTTGTGTGTCTTTTTCTCCCCTTCCCCAGCCCCTCAGTGAGTCTTTCCCCCCAGCACCTTTGTGTGTCTCTTTTTCCACGAGACAGCCTCTTTGCATGTCTATTTTCCTCTAACGCTCTGGGTGCCTCTGTGTCCTCTTTACTGTGTCCTTGTGTTTATACCGGTGCCTCCCAATGCTTTCCTATGGGAAAGCATTGGATTGGCTGAGATCATCAAGTTTGATGATCTCAGCCAAGGAGGCGGAGTGCGGATGGAGCCAGCCACGCCAAGAGCGTGTCTTTGTCCCTCTTTTGTGTGTCTCTTTCCCTCTCTGTCCCTCTTGCGTACCTGCTCACCTCCCTTTTATAGCATGCACCAGGCAGACTGCTTTAGAGGATCTTCTATATCCTCTACCTGGTCTGAAAGCTGTTGATCGTTCTTAGTGAGCAACTTCCTCTCAGACTGGGTAGAATATACAGAAGATCCTCTACCGTGATTTGCAGAGGTGCGCGCCCCTCCTGATGGTCACACTTGCCTGTGTGCATTAAGAAGTGCCACATTATAGCTTCACCGACCCTGTGTAGCACCATAACCAGAACAGATTGTTGTAGTGCTTCTTTTAAAAGTCTAGTTGGTCTATTTAGAATAGATCAGTTAATCACATGGGAATTCTATAAACTTCCAAAACATAGGACAAAATAGCTGGATTAAAAAATTCAGTGATGGTTTCAGTTTGGGAGATTTGGTCTAAAATTTTTCACTGTGAATTCCTATCAGTTGCCACTACTGGAAAATGTTGGATCCTGTTGTTAAGTTGTTAAAATGCTAAATAAAACATGTCACTTCTTTACATGTATTATTTTTTTCTCTATTCTTGATTGCTTTGAAAGATAACTTTGAGGTTTAGCAGCAGTCAAGATAAATATCCACCAAAGTCTAATAACTACAATATGAAAAACAACTGTATAAATCCCTTGCAAGAACACTTCCAAGTGCCAATTTTCCCATGTTTTTCCTTTTTGGCTAGACATTTTGCCCGTTCTGCTGGGAATTTTATAAATTAGATCATCCTAAGATTCTTCATAATGAGTTTTAAATCATGTGATAAACAATGATCATAGGACTAGTCATCATTGAAACCTAACCCTAAACTTTTCAAGATATATTTAATTGAGTCACCTGTTGTGATGCACCAGTTTACTCCTTTATGACAGATGCTTTATATAATGATTGCCCTAATCATCTAACAACTAAATCAACAGGCATTTAGGCTAAAATATCTGGTTTAGAAAAGTTCTCCATAGACATATCGTGTCTTTTTAGTTCACTTAAATGTATTTTTTATACTGAATAAACCCTCCAGGGTTAAATAGCCATCCTCCACATTAAAGGGGTTCTTTAGTGCTCTGTTAATAATAACATCAGTAGGAGATGGATTTTACTTAATCATTATATAGAGAATGTATAAAATTGAAATACTCCCCTCAGATATTACTCCCACCCCATTATTTTACTGTCCTGTTTTTTAATTATTTTTATTTTGTCCTGATTCTTTTCTGCCTCTCTTCATGTTTTTATTTGCCCTTGTTATCTCTTATTTCATGATTATTCTTTTCATAAAGTTGCATTTTCTTTTTTGACTAATAGTGGATTGCATTGTTTTGCCTCATGATGCCAAGCTTACTGGGTTGTGGTTGTTTTTAATGATGTATTTATTCCAGCCACTGAAAACTTTAATAACCTTTTAATTGGGAATAAGATACATACATTTGAAGTTTTTGCATTTGCATCACAAGCCATGGATTTGTCGCTTCCTGCAATGAGCTTACTATGAATTAGCTGACTTTAGCTCTTAGCAATTCACAGGTTTCAATTAGACGATGTCCCATAAAGCTTATCAGTCATGTAGTTCAGTACTTAGCAAAGGTTTTATCCATCAGAATGGAAGTGTTGCTACTGATTGTACTATGTTGTTTAACCAGCCTACAGACACACTTCATGCTAAATACCCTGTGTACGCAGGGATACGTATATCCTTTATCTTGTAAGGTTTATAATAGTTCTGTTGATCTTTCCAAACTGCTGTAGTTATCTGTAGATATGCAGAGGAAAATAGTGACAGGGAAATTCTTAGGGTATATTATGAAGTGCAATGAGCATAGTTTGATTTGATGCTTGGAATGTCCCTTTCTTGGTGTTTTTATTTAGATTTTAGTGGGTAATTTTCTACATGTTTTGTTCCACAAGCATTAAACAGATATGTATAAAGGATAAAGATAGAGGAGTGCAGGTAGAAATATGTATATAGTATACTTATTGACACTTGTTTGTCCTTTAAATGTCACCTATATACAAAAAAAGTCAAAACATAGCATAATACTGTTTGACCAAATAATATTCAATAAATAAATGTAGGTTTTTACTCACACTTTGCAGAGCCACATATAGTAGGCTCTGACTATTGTCGCTCTTTTAAAATTCCCTGGTATATTTGACTCCACCACGTCTCCAGATCTCTCCACTTGTGCCAGGATACAGGAGATATAAATAATTCCCCCCCCCAAAAAAGGTGGGGATATTTGTCAAAAATGTAATAACATATATAGTTAAAACAGGGAAATAAAGTGCATAAAAGTGAAAATAGATAGAATAGCAGCACTGACGCGTTTCGACTATCAAAAAGTCTTTTTAAAAGTGCACTACCAGGCGAGTGAGGAAGTACAGGCTCAGGTAGCAGGTATCGGTACCAGGTGGGTGAGGAAGCACAGGATCAGCTAGCGGGTGTCAGTACCAGGTGGGTGAGGAAGCACAAGATCAGGTAGCGGGTATCGGTACCAGGCGAATGAGGAAGCACAGGATCAGGTAGCAGGTAGCGGTACCAGGTAGGTGAGGAAGCACAGGATCACATAGCGGGTATCGCTACCAGGTAGGTGAGGAAGCACAGGCTCCCGGCGGGTATCGCTTCCAGGTAGGTGAGGAAGTACAGGCTCCGGTAGCGGGTATCGCTACCAGGCGAGTGAGGAATTACAGGCTCAGGTAGCGGGTAGCGGTACCAGGTGGGTGAGGAAGCACAGGATCAGGTAGCGGGTGTCAGTACCAGGTGGGTGAGGAAGCATAAGATCAGGTAGCGGGTATCGCTACCAGGCGAATGAGGAAGCACAGGCTCCGGTAGCGGGTATCGCTACCAGGCGAGTGAGGAAGCACAGGCTCAGGTAGCGGGTATCGGTACCAGGTGGGTGAGGAAGCACAGGATCAGGTAGTGGGTATTGGTACCAGGTGGGTGACGAAGCACAGGATCAGGTAGCAGCAATCGGTACCAGGTGGGCGAGGAAGCACAGGATCAGGTAGCGAGTATTGGTACCAGGCAGGTAATACTTACATTTTTATACAGAGTAAAATATCAGGTCTAAAAGTGTTTAGAAGAGTTGGTTCGCAAGAGGAATGTATATGCCAAAAGCTAAATATTGTAGCAGCTTATTATGTTTGTAAACATATTAGATACAAATTTTAAGGTTGATAACAGGACTGACTGAGCCACTTACTAGTTTGGTTCCTTACTTGCTGTTGCATATACTTTATTTTGTTTATTTATTATTTATCTTCTTACCTATGTTTTAACGCATTAGGATCGACTCCAGCCTTTCACCAAATTACATTCAGCTATTGTTTTAGGGAAGTTATATGTAAGCCTTGACAAGGTTGCAATGGTTGAAAAATTTAAGGAATGGTTTCTGACTATCCACACGATACCTTATTTGCCCTGTATCAGTCATAGAATCATGTACATGCTGTCTAAATCGATGTCCTATATCTTCATAGAATAACAGCAAAATCAATATATTGACGATACTGTCAGCTTAACATCTCGTAATACACTCACAGCTCACAAAAAAACTGAATAATGTAATTAATAGAATCAGTAGTGGTTCATCTTGGCTTTTTTCTCTTGTTGCAACTGCAATGTAATGAAATAGTAATTGACTAATTGGCTGAATGTATCAAGTTGAATCTCGGTACAAGAGCAATCTTTTAAACACCAAAAGACCTTAGAGATGACATCCTTTTCAGTAAATAGACTGCTTAATTTCTGTGTTAGAATTATCCAGCAAATATTTAATTACTTATATTTGGTGACTTAATTTGAACATTTATTAATTTCAACACTGTGTTTCCTGGTTTTGGATATTGACCATATTAGTTCCCCATTCAAGTACCTCAGTTAACTGGTGAGCAGAGTCTTTGAATTCCACTACCTGAGAAATTGGAGGGCTGGAATAAAACCTCTTTGGGTAATTACTCACTAATTAACAGCAATTTGTGGTGAATAGGAAAACACTCGGCCTGAAAAAAGGTTGCTAATTATCCTTTTTTTTTTTTTTTTTTACATTTGTTTTGTAATTGCCACAGTCTGGAGTTTAGTGAATAAATGTGCAAAATGTCTATGTTCATTAAAGGTACACTATAGTCACCATACCAACTACAACCTAACAGTAGTTCTGATGTCTACTGTCTGTCCCTGCAAGCAAATTAATGTAAACACTGCCTTTTCAGAGAAAAGGCAGTGTTTATACTGGTGCCTCCCAATGCTTTCCTATGGGAAAGCATTGGATTGGCTGAGATCAAGTTTGATGATCTCAGCCAAGGAGACGGAGCGCAGACGGAGCCAGCCACGCCAAGACCCGCACGGCACTGGAAAACAGGTGAGTAAAACACCTTCTTAACAGGTGAAATGGGGAGCTGGAGACCTAAATTATGCTTTTAATACCTGTTTTTATTCCTAACACTATAGTGTTCCTTTAATCTATGTCTTAGTACTGTCTTATTTGTAGGAAAATAAACTTTAGGACATTGACAACAAATCTACTTATTTAGGTGACTATAGCTGAATTGAACAATTGTAACAAAATTTGCTGTTTTAGCTTCAGTGGAGCCATTCAAAGTTAATTAGCTGAAACTCTTTCTTTAGTGAATAATTGTGTTAGAATGCCTTTTGAAAGTGACAGTAATAAAATGATGTTGGGCATCAGTGTCTCAAATCTGACTGCCTCTCCATTCCCAGGGCAGTACTTCTGTGTTGATCATCTTTCTGAAACATGTCTCAGTCTCAGTTCATTACAGCCGCTCCACTCTTAGGGTAAAACTTCAGTGATCAGCTTTCCGAAACCTAACCTTGTCTCTGCATGTGTGCTAATGAATTTAGCTGTATGGTTGTTCAGTGATGTTTGCAAAGTGCATGGTCAGAAAACTGCATGACATTCAATTTTCCTTTCTGCTCACAGCACTACCCATGTTTCAACTAGCAGGTCACACACAATAATTCTGGATCCTGGCTGTGTGTAAGAATGTAACGTGTATAATGACCCATTATCCCAATGAGAGCAATAGGTGTTAAATGTTTAACTATAAAGCCTTTTGACCTTTTGACAGTTCATCTGGTACAAAATCTTATAGTGAGTCCCAAATATAAGAAGTGACGCACAGTTATAAAATTCTAGCTCTCCCTCCCGCTTCCTCTTCAGCGACTTCCAACAGTTTCATCAGTTCCTGATTCATTCTGCCTAAAGCTATCATTTTATTCAACTTTCATTTTTGCCTCCAGGCAACACAAAATCAGGTTTTGCTTAAAAGGTACCACATTTTAAGTTGTAGCAATCCAAATATGAATGGCAAAATTCTGACTAAAAACCTGTGACTATAGCTGAATGCGAGAAAGTTTACACAGATCTGTTAATTTAACATGTGGTTTTTGTTATTCGGATTTCCTTTTGTTACCATTTAGAGTTTAGCGAATAAACCCTTAGATTGTTTTCTTGTTAAAGGCGCACTATAGTGCCCTGAGGGTGCCCCCACCCTCAGGGACCCCCTCCCGCCCGGCTCTTCAAGGGGGAAAGGGGTAAAAACGTACCTTTTTTCAGCGCTGGGCGGAGAGCTCTCCTCCTTCTCTCCTCCTCCGTTCCGCCCCGCCGGCTGAATGCGCACGCGCGGCAAGAGCTGCCCGCGCATTCAGCCGGTCACATAGGAAAGCATTCATAATGCTTTCCTATGGACGCTGGCGTGCTCTCACTGTGAAAATCACAATGAGAATCACGCAAGCGCCTCTAGTGGCTGTCAATGAGACAGCCACTAGAGGATTAGGGGGAAGGCTTAACCCATTCGTAAACATAGCAGTTTCTCTGAAACTGCTATGTTTATGGAAAAATGGGTTAACCCTAGATCGACCAGGCACCCAGAACACTTCATTAAGCTGAAGTGGTCTGGGTGCCTAGAGTGGTCCTTTAAGGTACTATTTTGGAAAAGATGATGATATTCATTCAAAATAATGTTCTAGAGGAGAGTTAGGCAACCTTTGACACTCTAGACGTTGTGGACTACATCTCCCTTGATGCTTTGCCTGCATTATGGCTGTAAGAGCATTATGGGAGATGTAATCCACATCTGGAGTGCCGATGGCTGCCCACCCGTGTTCTAGAGTAAACATCTGTCTTAAACTGACATATTGCATTGTTTGCGAATTTAGCTATTTAAACTATATACGGTTCTATGGCACTCAGTAAAAAGTTTTGCTACATTTAAAATGTCTAAATAGGTACATTGCAAAGTAGATAAAATACATTGTTAGGTAAACTTTACACTTATCATTGGTCTGGGCTACTTTGTTTAAACAGTTAAGATTTTTTTATTTTATTTTTTTTTAGATATTTTTGTTGAAAGAAAATGTTTTACATAATATGTTGCATGTAAAAGTACTAACAAGGAAAAGTAAGTTATCAATGCCAGGAGGAGTACCAGGGAGGCAATATTAAGAATAAGAACACAGAAACACGATTTTCAGTTATAGCCAGTACGCTATAGCGATGTAACGAGTAATACAGAGGATACACAAAGTTACGTAATGATATCAAGTAGCAGAGGCACATCAAAAAGAAATAACGAGAAATGGGATAGGGGAAAAAAAATAATCAAAATTATATATAAAGAATGGGAGTGACAGAAAAATGAGGACCTGCTCAAGGTGTTCGTATGAAAGATAAATTCTTCAGAACTGTGTTCAGGAGCCAAACCGCATTTTAAGATATGCATAAAAACAAACTTGACCTTTTGCCAAGTGTAGCCCAGTCCATGGTCAGGAGGAAACTCTTATTCCACAAAACCCTTCCTATGATTTGAGTAACTTGGATGATTAGAAGAGCTATCCATTTACACACCGCTTAGTTCACTGTTTAGTGACCTCTGAGAAGAGTTGTCATCCATACCGTGGTAGCTCTAGACCACTGTTCCCCAACCCAGTCCTCATGAACCACCAACAGTCCAGGTTTTGTCAGTATATCTATTGGAATAAAATAGGGAAATACATCAATCCTGACCTGTTGGTGGTCCACGAGGACTGGGTTGGGGGAATACTGCTCTAGACTTTGCGAGTCCTTAGGTGAAACATGAGGCCCCCACTAACAAATTTAGTGAAAGATTAGGGTTTACCTTCTGTGTGTATAAGGAGCTATAGATATAGTGAAGGGAGGGCTTGCAGTGTTGGATACAGAGAGCTAGTCTCTGTGGGGGTGACAGGGTGTGAAGGGGGGGTGACAGGGTGTGTGGAGTGGGTGACAGCGTGAGTGAAGTGAATGACAGAGTATGTGGGGGGTGACACAGTGTGTGGAGTCCGTGACAGTGTGTGTGGAGGGGGCGACAGAGTGTGGAGTGAGGATGACAGTTTATAGATGGGGTGACAGAGTATGGGGTGATGATAGAGTGTGTGGAGAGGGTAACATGGTGTGTGGTGTGAGTTACAGAGTGTGTGGGGGGGGGGTGACAGAATGTGAAGGGGGTTGTACTTTTTTTCTAAAACGATTCCCTGTTGGTCTAGTGACCTCTCTCTCTGGTGGTCCGGTTGACTGGCCCTATGGTGATTTAGGTGGGCATGAGGCCGCAGTCAGCACAAGCCCTTAGGCGGCAGCCTTAATCGCCTAATTAGAGAGCCGCCTCTGCATTCATACATACTCAGTCTGAAGCTTTGCTCTCTGCTGAAAGGTGCCTTGCACCATAACCACTTCAGGAAGCTAAAGTGGATGTGGTGCTCCAAATAACCATTTTATTTCTGACAATTATTTTTGTCTTTTTTTCTTCATACTCATTTTAGCATGTAGAGTATGCTGTCCTCCATTTTTAAATATGACAATTTTTCACATCTAGTTACTAAATCATAAGGGACATAATAAGCTGTAATGATGTTTTTTAAATTACTTAACTTCTCATAATCTATCATTTTTTCATATCATATCATCCTCATATCTCAATTCTGCCCTAATCACCGCTATACAAGCACTAAAACCTCAGAATCTATACACAACAACATTACCCCATCTCTGCCTTGCCACTGTCATAAGGTTGTGACTATAAGGAAGGTTTCAGCAATGAATAGTGGGCCACTTGCTAAGAGTGATTAAAGGGGAACTGTTAGAACAATAATCACATAATCACTTTACAACCCCTCCCCTTTTAACTCTGCTCAGACTTTGTGTCTGTCCAATCACAGACTTCCCATTGCTGCTCAATGAGAAGTCTTTGCAAGGCAGGTGCTCTGTGCTATTGCTGCCTCTTGAGTTTAGCTTCACTGAGCTTACCAAACCAGAAAGAAAAAGGAACTGTTGTCTGCTTGAAAGCTGGTGTGGTGTAACCAAGTTAAGATATAAAGTGGGAATTTCTAATTAAATCTGCACTATTTCCAAAATGGTAAACGTTACCTATAAGCATTTTGACTCTCATTGGAATTGTTGGCGCACAGGTTAGTCAGGTAGGTTAGGGTTAATTTGTTTATCTATGTAGCGCGTGCTGTTAGTGTAGGGCTGATTGGCTGTAACATAGCGTGAGTGCTAGGGTGCCAGTTATTTTTTTAGAAAGTGCGTTAGTTATTATAATTTTTTAAAAATTCTTTATTTTTGACTCAGGTCATGGTC